TCCCAGTACTCTCTGCATCAGCCTCCTGAGTACTGGGCTTACAGGATGTCACCCACACCTAGCTAACCACATTTTTTAACCAGCTCTTTGAGGTCTCCTTGTACAGCAGGCACTGGGCTAGCTTGTACTTGTGTTGGCTTCCTAACTCCACTGGCGGTCCCTAGACAGCAAACATGTTGACTTGTGGGTCCTTACCCCTTTTAGCCTCATCTCCCTCTCCACAGCACTGAGATCTCAGTAACAAAAGAACGACAACAACAAAAACTTTTGTTCTAGTTACTGGTTGATTCATCTCCAGGGAAAGGCACCCTGCAGACCACAGTAATAACACAGAAGGGAAAGGCAACTTGGTGCCTACAGAGGCTTTAGGAAGCTGTATCACTCGGTGGCTGCTGGCAGTTTGGAGATGCCCTTGGGTCTTTCAGACACTGCACATTCTGTGCCTTCAGTGATTTATGTCATGAAGGGCTGTGATGTTCTTGCCATTTGTGTTGCTTGTTCTGGGGCTTCTGAACTCTGACACCACAACTTGCATATACTTTCCTATTCAACAACCCCCATCCCCAGCCTGAACTCCGTATTCTTTGCATCTCATTCCTCTTTCTTCCTTGCCCTGTCTTTAGTGTCAACCCAATTAGAGCAGCTCTTCCCAGTCCCTCAAGCCAAGAACTTGAGTGCTGTGCTTTTTGTAATGCCCAGCACAGTGTGTCAAGTCTTTCTGCTTAAAACCTTATGAGCCTTAGACTGAAAACTGCAGAAAGCCTCTCGAGCCCTTTCCTCCTATCAGTGTCACTCTAAAAATACACCTGGTGGCCCAGCTGCGACCAAAGAACCTCTAGTTCTATACAGTGAAACTTGGTCAAAAGTGAGGTGGGGAACACAGCTGGTTGATTGGTTTCTAGCCTTTAGTCATCCTGGGTAATATCCATCTCATGGTCACAGCCAGTGCTGATGGGTTTCATTGACCTGTCTGCTCTGCCTAGGTCAGAAGTGTGTTCATGTCACCTCAGTACAGGTTCAGAATGTCTACAAATTCTTCAAGTAGTTGTCACTAGACACAATAGGATAGAACTAACCTGCTTCCAAAGAAGGAAGCAGCAGCCTGAGGACAGAGGTTCTGCATTGTCCAACTCAGCATGGGTGGGAGAGGAGCACACTGCAGGCTGCTCTGTACAGATGGGACCCTAAATAAAATTTCATTTTTGGAGTTTGTTATGTTTGTTGGTCATTGAGGAATGAAGCAGCCGGCTGTAGTAGAGGTGGGGAGGAGGAACAGAAGAACCCTTGAGATGTGCTCCACCAGGGAGTGCTCTGGGGGATGCCAAAATGGTTTTCTCGGCCGGCCGTCTACTGTGTGAGGTCCTCGGAGCTTTTCTCTTTTGGTGACACTGTTGCTGGTGGCCTCGACTTGTGCACCCTTGAACCCTTATATCGGGGCCTGCCTGCACACTGTAAGTAACTAACTTCCCAACTCGCCCCCTCTCAAGCCGCAGAACTCTTCTGAAGTTGGTCGGCTCCCGGGCGCTCTAGGGACCCTGCAGCGGGCGGGGCGGGCGGCCGGTCTGACGTGTCTCGGCGGGATTGGAGCCGCCGCCCTATATAGCAGCGGCGGCCCGAGCGCCGCGCCTCGGAGCGTCCCGGCTTCTCCCGCGCAGCGGCAGCGACAGACGGACAGGCTCTTGAGCGGTCACACTCACTAGTGAGAATCGGGCGAGTTGGTGGGCGGGCCGGCGGGGGGCTTGGTGCTGGGCACGGCCGGGGTCGGTTCCCCAGCTCCCCGGCCGTACTGGCGCCTGGTCTCCGCTACCGCGACGGGCGGGGGCCGCTACGTGTCACTCTGCGCATGGCCGCGCTGGAGCGCAGAAACTTTCCCAAGTCCGCCACGCGCCGCGGGTCAGCTTGCGGGCCCGGGTAGCCTGGACTACTGGCTCTCCTTGCGAGCCGCCGCGGTGGGGGAGGGGAGCGACCTGGCCAGGTTGGTGACGTGGGCAACCGAGCCGGCCCCTCCCCCGCACCCCTTCCCCCCAGCGCGGCCACACGGGCCCTACGGGCTGTGGACAGGACCTGGGTCAGTGGCGCCCTAGTTCGCGCGGCAGGCTGGGATCTTCACCCGGGGCCCCTGTGTCCGGCGCGGTGTCTCGCTACACCTCCACCTGCGGCGTCCGGCTACGTGGTCACTGGAGGACTCCAGGCCCAAGTACTACTTGGATGTGCCCCAGGGTCCATGGGTGAAAAATACATTACGGAAAAATACCGAATTTGGATAAAAGACTTGGAGGCCGAGCAGGATGCTGTCCCTTTAAGCCTGTCCCCGCCCGCGGGCGCTTTTGGCCGGTGGGAGGGCCATGCTGAGGTGGCATCTGCGAAAGTTCCTCCCAGGCTGGGTCTCTGACTTCCAGCGCTGGGTAAAGCACTAGGCCGGCCTTGGTAGTCACAGACTGAAGAGTTTGATCTCAGCAGAGCCTGGTTTTATTCTTAATTTTGAAGTCTGTACTCTTGAATATTATTGTGGGGGGTACCTTCGCAAGACTTCAGAGGACTGTAAAAGTAAACACTTTCAACTTTGGAAACCTGAATCCCAGCTGAAGGTTTTCACGCTGGAAGTTTTTGGTGCCCTCCATGAGGACTGGTCTAGAGTGTAAAAGAACTTGATTCTCTCTAATGGAGGTTGATAGGATATTCTTTCTGGAGCGTGTCTGAATTCTCTTCGCATACTGTTGGCCCTTACATAAGTAGTTGGCACAACTTAGCGCAGGGGAATCAATTTAAATGCTTCCTTGTTCAGAAGCAAAAAAGTAGAATTCTTCACTTACAGCCTTTTCTGTTTTCTAGATTAACACATGGTTTCAAGCTGCCACAGCCTCACCTTTCTCTTTTGCAGAAGTCCCTGTTGCTCCTTGGTTCTTGGAGGAGTAGAAGAAGCTGTCCCTGGCTTCTACTTATCTTGCTTTATTTAGTTCTGTGTTGAGAACTGACGTTCTGCCATGTTCTTTTGTCTCTCCGAAGCAAATTGTAATGTCAAAGTTGTAGGTTAGCATTGGGTACTAACTCCAGCGTCCAGTGGCAAAAATGGTTGAGATGGCCTCAGTGCCAGTGAAAGACTGGAGACTCTGGAGAGGAGGGGCTGCACCCACTGTGGGAGACATGTAGCAACCAGAAGAGGAAAGAGTACAGATTTCATCCTGTCTCGACAGAACCTTTACAGGGAGGCATGGGAACTGGGCTCCCAGGAGCACTCTTTCTTTTCTCTGGTGGTATTTGAAAATTAGGATAATACTCAGTGTCTTTCAGTACTAACATATGATTCACTCCACCAAAAGTCTGAGCTACCAAATCATGGGCTCCTGTACTCCTGAAGGTTTTGGCAATGGAGATGCAGAGTGGAGGGCACATGTTCAGCTGTAGTGGCTGTTGCGCAGTGTGGACAGCCAGGTGCAGCAGGTTAGGCCTGTGAATTTTGTCAGTAGAGGTAAAGCAGGTGGGTGTAAAGACAGAGGGACTGTTGCGTAGGTTCTGCTGGTAAACCAGATGCAGGTGGGCTCTCAGGCTGTGCGCTACTGGAAACCGGAAGGCGTGCACTGACCTTTACTTCTGGAGTAAGTAAAGCTTCTTACTCCAGAGTCTACAATGGAGAGGAAGTCTGTATTTACAAATGGGCATTAGGTATTTATTTTAAATTAAGACTTTAACAGGGTTTTGAGTTAATTTTTAAAAAGCCTTACCAAGTGATAACCTGAACAGACTCTGTTCAGTATATCTTTAATTGTGATCTCTATGCCCCAAGCTCTGACAAACTTTGAAATCTAGAAGCTAGACCCCAATAAGTCTTGTCAACTTGTCTGGAGTTTTCTAGAAGTCCACTCTGCTGTTCCTGGCTTCCAGAGGGTGTCTGTAGTTGTCCGGGGCTCTGGAAGCTCTGCTCCGGTTTCTTCCTTGGCAGTGACAGCAGGCTTAGACATGGAGGTGCTTTCGGCGGTCACTTGGTTTGTTGTAAATACTCCTGGAAAGGGATGCTTAAGTGTGGGGGCAAGCCTAAGACTGTGTTGCAGTCTGCACAAGGCAATATATGGTGTAGGCTTGTATATTCCTCTGTATCAAAACTAACCTTGTCCTGGAAAGCAGGGGCAATAGTCAGTGGCGGGCAGCACAGAGACAAAAACATATAGTTAGGGTCACGTGGATGAACCTGGTAAAGTGGGTGGGCATCAGGGTTTAAGAAGTGATAGCAGAACACACTTTAGACCCAAAGTCAGGAGGCAGAGGCAGGTGGATCTCTGAGTTCAGGGCTAACATGGTCTACATAGAGAGATCTTGTCTCAAGACCAAAAAAAGGTATTTATATGTAATTTTTGGCCTCCTCTGGTGGCCTTGGAATCTTGAAGTTTTATGACTTGATTTTTAAGTCTTTGTAGATTAGAAGGGACTGAAGGACTTCTACAGGACAATAGCAAGAAAAAAGAAACTGTAAAGTTAACAAGCATTCTTTTAGTTTTGATGTTTTTGAGGCAGGTCTCGCTTTGAAACCCAGTTTGATCTTGAACTCACAGAGATCCATTTGCCTCTGCCTCCCAAGTGTTGGGAGTGCACCACTCCTAGCTCTCTCTGTCAAGGAGCCCTTGGGCACTCTGATAGCTCAAGCACAAGATGTGCATTCTGCTTTACAGCAGAGTCAGTCTGGCAGGTCACAAGGACCCAGTGTACAGATCACTTCTAAGATCCCTTGAAGAATTGTCCTGAGAGTTCTAAATGATTCAGGTTTTACTGTAACATGTCTTATTCAAAGTTAATGGCCTAAGACCAGAGCTTTTGTAATGGTTTTTTTCCTAAGAGATTTGCCTAACTGTTGCAATTACTAGAAACTAAATGTAAAGAATATTTAGTTCTGTTGTTTCTTGAGAGGTGAAAGGATCTAAATTATAAAGCATGGATAAGTAACCTTTCTGGTTTTTTTGTTTGTTTGACTTTTGTCTGTTTCTCTCTCTCTCTCTTCCCTATACTAGTAAAAGCTGGCAGGCTGACAGAGGCAACCTCGGGACGGACTTTCTGGCTACTGACCATTTTGCTGGTAAGTTTGAGTGCCCTTTTTGAGGACTTCTGTGCCTAGGACACAAAGATGTGTGAGTTAGTTCTAGCCTGAATCATCTCCTCTTAGGCTTCTTCTGTGCCATAATAGGCACATCCATGGCTTCATGTGCCCTTCAGCTGTGTCCTCTGCCTTGCATCTGTTTTTTGTCCTTTTTGTCTTAATCATGAATTATGTTTTGTTTTCAGAATTTGGGTCTTAATATGCTTTAGAAATACTTTGTAAAGTTGGGAAGAGGTTTTTACATTATTGTAATAAAGTAAGATTTTTGTTTTGTTTCATTTTTTAGTGTTTTGTTTTTGATACAAGGTTTCTCTGTGTAGCCCTATCTGTCCTAGAATTCACTCTGTAGACCAAGCTGACCAGAGAGATCTTCTTGCCTCAGCCTCCTGAGTGCTGGAATTAAAGGTGTTTCCATTGACAGCCAGCTGCATACTTTATTGAAGTGCTTGCGTTTTACCAAGATGTGATATACGTAAGGCACTGGCATAGTGATGTAAAGAAAATGAGTGCTTCCTCACACTGGTGTTGTGAAGCTGCCGAAAATTACAGAAGGGCAGAGAAGCTAACAACTGTGCCTGAGAATGCTGCATTGCACCATAGATTACAAACAGGGAGCTGGGACCTTCAGAGCCAATGTCCACGGCTGTCCTGGAATAAGGAATGCTGTGCCTTGAGCCAGTTTCCTCTCTTGTGAGTGAATCTCCTCCACACTGGGCAAAAGTGCCCTGTGATAATCAGCAGGTTGAGGTACTTGGCACAATATGTGTATCTGGTTTTACTGACAACATGAAGCACTGTGAGGTTTCTCCCCCCTCCCCCAATTTTGCTGAGATGTTTGAAATGGTTCTTTATGGCCTCTGGATAAGTACCTACATGTCCTAGTTGTAGTAATTGTCATTTTTATGGTTCTTAAAAGCATCAGGAGGCATATGTTATATGAACAAAATAAGATGGAGATAGCTATTAAGAGAATGATCCTGGATTGATCTGTAACAAAGATGGGTCAGGCAGGTGGCAGGTTCCAGTAATCCCAAAGTACCCATGATTTTGGGTGGGGGAGGGGGATAACAAGCTGTTAATGAAGCCCTCTCCCTGTGGCTTCCACATGGGTAGGTGGTACAGATTCTAAGCTTTGGACTTCTAGGTCTCTTAGCCAAATCTTGTCTACTGTGTGACAGTTTCTGAGAAAAGTTAATCAAATGGGCTAGAACCCTACTTTACTTGAATTTGCCATGTTCACTCTTCCATTGAAAATCTGAAGAATAATTTACATCAACCTTGTGCAGAAAATACACTATAGTTTTCAGTAAGAAGATAAAAACCTTGACTGAAACATTTAAAACAGTACATTACTGAGTTAGCTGTACTTGGGTTGTCTCCTCCTTGATTACCTTTCTCTTGTAGTGTCTTACTAGGATTGTGTGTGGACGTGAGATCGACCATGAGCTCCGTTGCAGTTTTGACCCAGGAGAGTTTTGCTGAACATCGAAGTGGGCTGGTTCCACAACAAATCAAAGGTGACAGACTACTTTACAAGTTTTCCTTATTAACTTTGGAGACTGGGCTTCTGCTAATTTATATTAGTTGGTTGCAAGTGGGATTGGACAGGTGTGAGGAATGACTCTAGAAACAGATCTAAGTATGGTCAGTTTCTTGGAAATTCAATTAATCTGACAATTGGCAATGACTGGGATCCTTTACAAAATTGCTGCTGTAATTATGGGGTGCTGAAATACTGACTGAAGCATCCTGAGCCTCTGAGGATAAGGGTGAGATGTGACGTCTGTGCTGTTTAAGGCCATTAGTCAAGATGGAGACCAGCACTGTCCAGTGGGTTAGAATGCTAGTCACATAAGCAATTTGGAAGTTTTCCAAACCCAGGTTAAATAAAAGGGAATAGGTGAATTTTTTCCGAAATATTTTCAGTCAAAAGTTTTGCTGTTTAAACCAGACCAATCTCAAACTCATGATTCTTCTGCCTCTGGGATTGCAGGCGTATACCATTACACATTTAACACATTTAGCCTAATGTATGTAAAATATTGCCCTTGCAACATCTCAATATAAAGAATACGTACCTTAAAGCCAGCTACTTTATGTTATTTTTCTTTAAATTTTAGTATATATGTTTATGCAGGGCATTTGATTTGAATGCTAAATTTTTGTACAAATGTCTTTGATCAGGGCTAACAAGACAGCGAATAGGTAATGGTGTCTACTTGCCAAGCCTTTGACCTGGATTTGATCCTAGCACCTACACAGGTGAAGGAAAGAACTGACTCCTGCAAAGTGTCCTCTAACCTCAATATGCAGCTCAGCATGCATACACATGCACATACACAAATAAACATAGATAATATTTTTAATTTAGATTTAGATTTTCTAAAATTTTTGAATGAAAAAAATAAGTTGTTCTAGGTTGTTAGACCATATTTAAGTTTTCCCTAGAATGGAAATGAATATCATTTCTTAAATTTAGAATGAATTAAGCTTTTAAAATTCACTTCTTGGCTACACTTTACCCACTCATTCCCAGTGACCACTGTATTGGTCATTCCTAAGACACTGCTGGTTGTCTGGTTCTCAGTATCTGGGGTTTAAGTGCAGCTATCTGTAGTTTCTCCTTTCTTAAGAGGGAAATGGCACTTCAAGAGTCCTGCCTCTGTTTATCCCACCACCATCAGGCTCAGAAGCAGTGAACTTAGACTAGAGTCCCATCTACTTCCAAAAGTCGTCTTGTCCTCTCCATATCTGCATGCCCCATTGTGTTTTTATTGGGCCCTGCTACTGGTAGATACTGCTTAGCCTTAGAGATATGGGATTATCTAAAACATCTATATAGTTGTTTTTGTGGAGATCATGGTTAAACTAGACAAAAGCATGAACAAATTTGAGCATCATGGAACATAAACATGACTAATAGTCAGGCCCTGGTTTCTCCAAGTCTTGCTGTTCCTGTCTTAGCTTGAGAGGCCATCAGAGACAGTCCCCATGTGAGTTAATTTCACCATTGTACATTACAAAGGGAAATGTGGAACCTTTCTAAAAGCTAATTCTTCTGGGTTTTTTGTTTGTTTTTAGAACAGGGTTTCTCTGTAGCTTTGGAGCCTGTCCTGGAACTAGCTCTTGTTGACCAGTCTGGTCTTGAACTCACAGAGATCTGCCTGCCTCTGCCTCCCAAGTGCTGGGATTAAAGGTGTATGCCCCTGCCACCCGCTTTAAAAGGTAGTTCTTAAAAGCAGTGTTTAAACTTGTACTATGTGCCAAGCATTTATAATCATGATTTACTTTTGTACTATTAGAAAATATGACGACCTAAAAACCTGTCACAAGCTTGCATTCAAGGGTTTTATACATCACAGTACTAAAATGGGACTTATTGTCTTACCTTTCATAGTGGGACCATGTAGAGGGCAAAACATTAACATTTCTGGAACTGGGAATCTCTAGCCCCATCCATTTCGCACACTCAGGGTGCTGGCCTGATGATTCCTAAGGTTTTTTTCCCATAGCTATGAATGAGGAAAGTGTAATAGTAGCCTTGCTCACTCACCACGTTTTAGTGGGGGTTCCTGCTACCTTTCTGCTGTGTTTGTTCATAGAATGTTTAATTATAGTGCTTTCCTCCTAATCTGTGTGTTCTCTGGTCTAGTTGCCACATTAAATTCAGAAGAGGAAAGCGACCCGCCTACCTACAAGGATGCCTTCCCTCCACTTCCTGAGAAAGCAGCTTGCTTGGAAAGTGCCCAAGAACCTGCTGGAGCCTGGAGTAACAAGATCCGGCCAATCAAGGCCTCTGTCATCACTCAGGTAGAAACACATTTCTTTTTGCTTTATCTGTTCCTTGTAGGAAGCAAGAAGAACTGATAAAGGGTTTTGAGTCTGCAGTGATGAGCACATTTTGGGTATGTAAAGTGGAGGAGTCTAAAAGGCTACGATCCCTCCTGTGGAGCACACCCTCCACCATGATCCTCCCACCCAGCCTCCCTGGCACTCTGGACAACTGGCACACAGTCTGAGATAGGCCATATTTGTCAGATTCATGGGGCCATGTACTTTTTTATTCATTGTTGCCTCTGGCTGCGAAGTCTGCCTTTCCTTATCCATATGACAGCCAAAAGCTAATTTGTTGTGGGGCTTTGTGACACCTAGCTAATCTATCACCCAGAAGCAAGAGGCAGGCAGATCTCTAGAGTCAGAGGCTAGCCAGAGCTGCATAGTAAGAAGGATTAAAAAAAAAAAGGAAAAAAAATACATAAAAAGTTAATAGTCTGTCGGTAACAACTAATTTATTTCCTGGTTTCCTTTGGCTTCATTCCCCTTCTCTCTTGCTATTGGGCTAAGAGTTGAGTGTAGAACTGATGCCTGGTTATGATAGAAAATTATCACCCATGTAACTATAACTTCTTGCCCTAGTGTGCATAAGCAACTGCCTCTTGATCTTTTCTTTGTGACCTTTTGCTATCTTGTCTTGTTAAATGTATCTGTTAAATGTATTGTTAAATGTATCATGTCTTGTTAAATGTGTCTTTGAATGATTCAGACCTCTTTGAGGGATAATTGATCCCTCTTGCTTCCATCACTGCTCCTCCTCAACTCTCCTTACTCTTTTAGCAGAATTTATTAAGCTTAAAATTCTTGATGTCGCCTATGCCCCTGCCTCCTGCCTGCTGCTACCTCTGCTGTTTCCTATCATGGGTGCACGCTTTCTCTTCAAAAAGGTTTTCTATTATGTCCTTAGTGGTTTTGACCTAGGCACTTGCCTCCCTTTAAATTCTTAACAGGCTTTTTGTTTCTGGTGCTGTTCATTATTATCTATACCACATGCCAGCCTCCTTTCTTGGAGGATTTCTCCTTACTGCCTTGCCTACGGCACTGCTTAGTGGGTGAAGGATTAATAAATATATATTGCATGTGGTCAGTCTTCCTTTTCTTTGATGGTTTAACTTTGTCTTTGGGCGTCTTTTCTGAACAGGTATTTCATGTACCCCTGGAAGAGAGAAAATATAAAGACATGAACCAATTTGGAGAAGGTGAACAAGCAAAAATCTGCCTTGAGATCATGCAGAGGACTGGTGCTCACCTGGAGCTCTCTCTGGCCAAAGACCAAGGTCTCTCCATCATGGTCTCAGGGAAGCTGGATGCGGTCATGAAAGCCCGGAAAGACATTGTTGCTAGACTGCAAACACAGGTGGGTGTCACTAGGCCTGGCATCCCAGGTTATTTGACTGATCCTGGTGCAGGCCAGAGGACAGCAACATTTAGAACCTTTCTGAATTTATTCTAATCACTAAATTAATGATAGAACTGGGGTACCTGTCAGATCAACCACTGAGCTAAATGTACTGAAAAATGAGGCTTTTTCCAGACTTGAGACACTTAACAGCAGTGAGCTTGCTAGGTAGGTAGTGATCGTCAGTTTCTAGACCTCAAACTTGGGAAGTAAATGATCAGATTTTTTTCCTCTATTTCTGCCAGTCTGGTGCCAGTATTTGGAATTATTTGAGAACGGTTAGAATAAAAGGCATTTCTTCAAGGCATTTCTCCTTAAGGCCAAGAAAGGCAGAGAATCTTACTAATGTGCCATGTGATAGGTGCCATGCTGTGGGGTTTGTTCAGAGATAGGGGCTACTCCCACTTACTGCTGAGCCTCTAGGCAAGCTAGAGGGGAGTGATCCTGCTCTGCCACTGATGTAGCCAGCACAGTCTAAGATGGTTCTAAGTCCCAGGTATCATCGTGGAATTACACATTGTAACTCATATATATTGGACCCTGAAAAACTGTTAGGAGAATTTTTAAAAGCAAACTCCAAAAATATCATTTTACTTCTAAATAGTATATCTGTCTAATGATTGTGCTATTATCTTACTTTATATTTATAAAAGAGATGCTAAGGATTTCATATTTGACCCTTGGTTTAGACTTATGTCTCTGATGTCTTTCAAGTTGGTTGTTTAATTCAATGTTCATTTGATTGTGGCATCACATGTCTCCTTAACAGTATCTCCCCTACACACACACACTCACACACACTTAATGCCATTGATTTGTAAAACGGTTAGTATTTAATTGCTCTGCTTTCCTTTGTGAACTGTTACTGGGTGCTAAGAACTTGACTGTTTTATTTCTTGGTTTTGGGGGCTGTTTTGTTTTGGTTCTGAAACAAGAACTCCTGGCTATCTTGGAGCTTGTTCTGTCTCCCAAGTGCTGGGATTAAAGCACTTGCCACCATGCCTTGAGCTTGATTACTTCATATTCAGCTTGTTTGGCGTGGATGCTTGTTATCACAGATGGATTTTGTTGTTGTTTCCCCATGAGCTAGAGTGGGTGTCGTCTGCCTTATTTGGCCTTCGCTCATAGGATTCACTGATGATCTGGCTAAATTCATTAAAAGTTGAAAATGGGGAGGGGGGGCTGGAGAAGTGGTTCAGAGGTTAAGAGCACTGGCTGTTCTTCCAAAGGTCCTGCGTTCAATTCCCAGCAACACATGGTGGCTCACAGCCATCTGGTGCCCTCTTCTGGCATGCAAGCATAAATGTGTAGGCATACATAGAGGCAGAATGTTGTATACATAATAAATAAATCTTTTTTTAAGAAAATAAAGTTGAAAATGGTGGTTTTCAAATGTATGGTGCTGCTGGGGAGACCGTTTTGTGAGGAAAAATACCTACCTGCTGGCAACCTGAATTCAATCCCTGAAACACACACAGTAAAAGGGAAGAACCATTTCCCCCAAGTTGTCCTCCAACAGCACACACATAAATGCTCATAAAATAAATAAAAATATAAATTTTAAAATAAATCACTCGGTCTGGGGTGCTGTCAGTGATGGGTAAAATGCCCTTTTTTATTGTTTTGGCTTTTTTTTTTTTCTTTTTGGTGACAGGGTCTCTGTATAGCCCTGGCTATTCCGAAACGCTCTATGTAGACCAGGCTGACCTCGAGCTTAACAAAGATCCACCTGTCTGCCTTCCCAAATGCTAGGGTTAAAGGTGTGTACCACCACCCCTGGCCTGGTAAAGTATGTTTAAGACCCTAGGTTTGATCTTTAGCATAAATAGTTAACTAATTAAAAAAATAATAATTTTTCTCTTTACTATTTTCTACCATCAGTCTTCAGCAGGTAATTGTCACATTTTAGTACATCTTTGAATTGCATTGTGTTGGAATGTTTGAGGGAGGCGGGCAGATCTCTGTGAGTTTGAGGCCAGCCTGGTCTATGAGAGCTAGTTTCAGGACAGGCTCCAAAGACACAGAGAAACCCTGTCTTGAAAAACAAAAAACAAACAAACAAAAAAAAAAAACGAATGTTTGAGGGACTGAGTTTAGTTTTGGTTTGGTTTGGATTTTTGCTTTTTCAAGATAAGGTTTCTCTGTGTAGCCCTGGCCATCCTATAACTCACTCTGTAGACCTGGCTGGCCTCTAATACCTGTCTCTACCTCCCGAGTGCTGGGATTAAAGGTGTGTGCCACCATCACCCAGCTAAGTTTAGTTAATTTTTTTAAGAAATGTTAAATAAATTTTGAGCAAAATTTCCAGCATTTTTCTGCAATGGCTATAAATATGCTTTGCCATTTGGTCCTACATAATCAGTAAATATTTAACTTGTATACCTGGAGTATAAGAATTTCTTAGGTACAAAGGAGTTGCTGCTGCTGGTGACTCCTGGTCCAGACCATATTGGTTCTCTGAGCACATCTTCACTGCTGATGAGAGAACCAGGCTGTCATGGAACCATGACAGCCATGCAATCCAGGCTGGTCTCTAACTCATGGTCCTGTCTCAGCTGTCATGTTTCCCCATACTAGGGAGTTTTCATAAAATGTCATTGTGAACTTGGAGAAGTTGATAAATAAGCTGCCTTATCTTTGATCAGAGAAGTTCCTCTGGGTTTCTCCTTGCAGGCAGCTTTCTGTTGTCACCCATAATCTGAATTTCTTCGTTTCTAACATAGAAAGTTTTCTCAGGTTAATCTCAGATAGAAATTTTTGAGTAAGGAATATGACTCATTCAAACTATTTCTGTTTAACATGAAGAAAATAGTATTTTTAAATCAATAATTTTCTTTTTTGGGTTTTTCTATTTAAATTTATTTTCAGTTTTTCAAAATTATTTCAATATTTGCATAACTATGTCAAGCTGAATAGAAATCTTCCCAGCTTATGTAATGTGCTCCTGTCCTTTCCATTATCACCTTTATACACCACTATGTACGTTCTTCATTGTTTACTTTTTATTTATTTATTTATTTATTTTGGTTTTTTGAGACAGGGTTTCTCTGTAGCTTTGGAGCCTGTCCTGGAACTAGCTCTTGTAGACCAGGCTGGCCTCGAACTCACAGAAATCCGCCTGCCTCTGCCTCCCGAGTGCTGGGATTAAAGGCGTGCACTATCACCGCCCAGCTTGTTTACATTTACAGATAGAAGCAGAATACAACTTGCCAGCGTCCCTGATCTCTACATTGCTTTTTTTTTTTATTTTATTTGGTGTCTTGTGTATCAATAAATAATGATTTTCCTTGTTGTAGAAAGCAGTGTGACTCCATATGTATGCTGTAGTTTAAGCTCTTAAGTGGTTTGTAGGCTCTTGTTTCTATGTGACCAAAAAGGGGCTGGGGGTCATGTGCATAGGCTGTTTCTTTTTAATGGTTTATCTTTAGGGATAATCCTGGAAATGATATGGCTAGGTGAAAAGATCACCTTAAATATCTACTTTGGCTACCAGCAGCAAGTAAATTCCCTCCCTTAGAAGTTTATGTCTTGCTCTCGCATCTGCAGAGTACGAGAGCCACACTCACCTAATACTCAGGGTTTTGCCAATCTGAGGCATAGCTGAGTAAACTTCCCAGTTTGTATATGACAAATGCTTGTATATGTGTTTATGTGGGTGTGCGCTTGTGTCTGTGGAAGCTAGAAACTGACACCCTGGTATCTTCCTTGAGCATGCTCCTCCTCATTTTTTGAAATGGGGTCTGCTGGTAACCAGCGTGGTGGGCTGGTCCTTGAATTCTACAAGTCCACTGTCTTCCTCTCTGCTATTGGGATTACAGACTAGTGCCACTGCAGCCAGACCTTAACTTAGCTGGCAGGCACTTTACCAACCAAGTCAATTCCCGGCTTCAGGAATATACTTTTCATTTGCAGTAGGATTTGTGTGAAAAGTCTGTTATTCTGTCCATTTTTGATGTCAGATTGTTTACCTTGCTCAGTTTGGGGGAATTAACACTATATCAGTTTGGGGGAATTAACACTATAGCAGGACTTCCAATTCCTTCATCAGGCATAAAAAGTAAATTTTTTCCAGTTTATTGTTATTTTTAATCTCTGTTTTGCTCTAGATATTTGGTCCATTTATATAGTTAACATTTACTGTTTTTATTATGTTGAATCATTGTTAGAAAAGCATTTTCTACTTCCAAATCATAAAAATATTTATCTTTTTTTTTTTCTTCTTGCACGTATAAGGGTGTCCTTTTTTTTCAGTTTCTGACTATTTGGGTTGTATTCCAGTCTTGTAAAATACTCGCCCAGGTTCTCCTCTTCCCACATGACTGCTTTGTCATCAGCACTGTTTGCAGAAGGCAGTCCTCCCACTGTGGCCAGAGGCTGTTCTCATCAAGTCCTAATGCCCACAGTAACCTAGGTCTTTCCTGGGCTCCAGGTCATGGTCCATTAGTCAGTCTTTGTACTAATGCTTTCTCACTTCTCTAGTGTTCACTGTTGCTTGGTTTTCTGGTTTCCCCATGCAGGTTTGGGGTGAGAGAGGGGTGTGTGTACATGTGGGAGGCTGACATCAGGTATCTTTCTTCACCTCTTTCTGAGATAGGGTGTCTCACTGTGCTTAGAGCTCACAGATTACCTAGACTGATTGGCCAGCCAGCCCCAGGATTCTGTCGTCTTCACTTTGCCAGCACTGTGAGCCTATGGAAGTTTATGATCAACTTTATGCTCAAAACTCTAGTAATTTTTTTGTAATTAGAAAAAATTGATATTTTTGGCAGGGCGGTGGTGGCGCATGCCTTTAATCCCAGCACTCGGGAGGCAGAGGCAGGCGGATCTCTGGGAGTTTGAGGCCAGCCTGGTCTACAAGAGCTAGTTCCGGGACAGGAACCAAAGCTACAGAGAAACCTTGTCTCGAAAAACCAAAAAAAAAAAAAAGAAGAAGAAAAGAAAAGAAAAATTGATATTTTTGTTATTTAAGCCACCTTTTGTAGCTTGTATGTGATGTTGTAGTAATCTTTCTCATGGTGGGAAAAAGCCAGGGTTTGTAGACGCCTGTCAAGACATATACCACTGGACTACACACCCCCATATTACACCTCGTACCTTGCAGTTAAAGTTGTTTTTAAAAAAAGACTCCAGCTGACTTCTGGAGTCTTTTTTCTTTCCTTCTTGTTATAAATGGAAAGAAGAATTTGATGAAATAGTGATTTCCCCATGCAGTCAGATGTTTTCTTCTGTCTCATAATAGAGAAGTCTGCATAATGGTATGGCCCTGGTTTGGACCAGGGTAGGCTCCCTGTGATCATGACATGATGTTTGAGCTCTCGTGGTTATAAGGGGATGGATGAGATAGCTTTCTCGAGCATTCTAATTAGGGAATATCCTAGAAGAATGTGCTTTATCAGAACCGTAGGTAATTTTTTTTGTTTGTTTAAAGTTTTTGGTTGGTTTGTCTTCTAACAGGCCTCAGCAACTGTTACCATTCCTAAAGAGCACCATCGCTTTGTCATTGGCAAAAACGGAGAGAAACTGCAAGATTTAGAACTAAAAACTGCAACCAAAATCCAGATCCCACGCCCAGATGACCCCAGTAATCAGATCAAGATCACTGGCACCAAAGAAGGCATCGAGAAAGCTCGCCATGAGGTCCTTCTCATCTCTGCTGAGCAGGTGAGCCCTCTGAATGGTCTGAACCCCTGCACTCTGCAACATACCCAGCACCAGCCTTGTTTCTAGTGTGCTACCACTTTCAAAACGAACTAGAGGCGCCGTGTATATGTGAGGCCTTGACTGTGACTTTGGCTGTTCCAAGGTGTTCTTATCAGTCAGTTCATTCTGCCCTTTCCAGGACAAGCGTGCTGTAGAGAGGCTTGAAGTGGAGAAGGCCTTCCATCCCTTCATCGCTGGGCCGTACAATAGACTTGTGGGCGAGATCATGCAGGAAACAGGAACACGCATCAACATCCCTCCACCCAGTGTTAACCGGACAGAAATTGTCTTCACTGGAGAGAAAGAGCAGCTGGCTCAGGCTGTGGCTCGTATTAAGAAGATTTATGAAGAAAAGGTGCAGTATGAAGGTGGCAGAACTGGGGGACAAGAACAGTTAATGGGATTTTAGTGTGCACCCTTTTGCCCTTGAGCACAAAGCTTAGTATCTGTGTTCAGTACTTGGTGGCTACAATTCCCTACTGTAGGGTATGCTGTAGGCTGGTGTCCTGGTGTTCTCTGTGTGTCCTTTCTCAGTATCTGTGACCACACTGGTAGGTTGCTGCCATAGGATCGGCGCATACTTTTTAGAGGTGACTTGTAGCTTATTCTGACTTTGAGGTATGAAACCTTTTCCTTATTTGGAAAAAGTAGGGTGGGAGTATAGTTCTGTGGTGGAGCACACTTGTCTAACAAGGAAAAGGCCCTAGGTCAAATCCCCAACACCTCAAAGAAAAAAAAAGAGAAGGAAAACGGGGAAAGCATTTATTTACTCAAGTGTTCAGGGTTGACATTAACATCCTTGAAGGTGACCAGACTTGGGAAGTCCAGACACCTGAGAAGTAGAATTTCTGGGGGAGCTGGTTATAGTCTTCACTTATTGAGAACCACATCTAGGTCCCCAGCTGGCTTTGTTGGTAGTGACAGACTGTCCATACTGCCTGTGTCTCCTATCTCTCCTGCTGACTACCTTTATGGTGCTCTTCATTAGAAGAAGAAGACTACAACCATTGCAGTGGAAGTGAAGAAATCTCAGCACAAGTATGTTATTGGGCCGAAAGGCAATTCATTGCAAGAGATCCTGGAAAGAACTGGAGTTTCTGTTGAGATTCCACCCTCAGACAGCATCTCCGAAACTGTGATACTTCGTGGAGAGCCTGAAAAGTTGGGACAGGCATTGACTGAAGTCTATGCCAAGGTAATTCCCTCTAAGTGTGCTTTGATAATTTCTGGGGGCCCATTATGGACTGGCTGTTTGTTGGTATAACCTGGAGACCCAGACACAGTCAAATGTGTCAAATTGGGGGTGGGGGGACGGAGACACTCACCACTGAATTCTTTGTGTGTTCATGTGCATGTGTATGTAGAGGCCAGAAGACTGTCTTAGGTCATCACTCAGGAGGTGAGACAGTCTGTTGACATAGAACGTGACACAAGCCCCAGATGCTTTACTTCCACTATTCTACTAGTATGATTACAAACATGCATTACCCTGTCCATCTCTTGGGACCAAAATAGGTCCCTGAGCTCACACAACAAGTACTCCTGACTGAGCTGTGTCCCCAACCCCACCTCTACTTTTTTACATGAGCAGTTTGATAGCTTTGGAGCCTGTCCTGGAACTTGCTCTGTAGATCAAGCTGACCTTAAACTCACTTAGATCCACCTGCCTCTGCCTCCCTAGTGCTCGAATTAAAGCCATCACCACTTGGCGACTTTTTGTTTGTTTTTATATAAGGTCTGACTGTTAGACCAGGCTAAAACTCTTAAAACATCTCCCTGCCTCAGTGTCTTCACTGCTAGGATTAAGGGAATGCACCATCACACCTGATTTGACCTTTGTTTTAACATAAAGTCTACAGACCCATAACTGTTTTTCTGTTTTTGTCGTAGGCCAACAGTTTTACTGTTTCCTCAGTCTCTGCCCCTTCCTGGCTTCACCGTTTCATCATTGGTAAGAAAGGGCAGAACCTGGCCAAAATCACTCAGCAAATGCCAAAGGTAGGAAAACATTTTTAACCTGGTATTTTGAAACTGCCTGTCATGATTTTGTTTTTGCTATTTGTCTTGTGGGTGCTTTGAAGACTATAGAACAATATCAAGCTTCAGTTACCCTGTTGATACAGTCAGCTTCCACTAATAACTATGGGAAAAGCATGATAAAGGTCTTTAGGTATATGTATCATTTTCCCATCTTTAACCAGAGACTGAAGAAGGGCACTAAAAAGAAATCCCACACTAGCTCAGAACTGAGTATAATAAAGGATTATTTAGGGGTAGACTCACAGATCACTAGCCTCCTCATGAGCAAGGAACAGGAACTGAATCACACCGCCGGGAGAGCGCAAATGTGTGCTTTACATCAGCATATATAATATAAGAGGCCACACCCAAGTGGGCGGGTAACTTAAAGGCTACTGGCTATAGGAATTCCTACAGCAAGAGATGGTTTTTTCATTAATAGGTTTAATAAGTGTCTTAACTGAATTTAGTAATTATGTTATGATTTCATAATGATTTGAAGAGCAACACTTGGAAAGGGACTTAAGTGTGTCATCATCTGTCTTATACTGTTGTCCTTACCAAGAGGCAGCAGAGAACTTTATTCCTAGTTTGTTGACATGAGTATTGTTTGCCTTACCTGTCATTTCAGTCTTTCTAGCCTAAGAATCACTAATGATTTACTTAGATGTAGGCAGACTGCTCTCCCTTTCCAACTACCTTACCCATTGTGTGTTACAAACAGCACAAGATACTGACCTGCTCAAGTGAAAAGTGAGTTTTATTCCATCACTTCGTTTTCAGAACGTTTGTCCTGGGGCTGAGTAAATATCTTAGCCACTAAGACATTTGCTGAGAAAGTATGAAGACAAGAATGTGGATCCTCAGAATTCCTATACAGGCCATCGAGGCATGGCAGCAGTTCCTATAATTCTAGTCTCAGAAGGTAGAAACAGGATCCTCAGAGCAAGCTCTGGGTTTATTGAGAGACCCTACCTCTTGAATAAGGTGGAGGAATCATCAAGGATGCTTCCTGACATCCTTCAGGTCTCTACAGACATATACTCACATGGGTTTATACACAAAAATGAAGTAAAGAAAACAAACAGATACTGTCTTTGCCATCTTTTTCTCTTTATACAATCAAAGTGAAGTCTGCCTTCCAAAAAGGAAAACAATTCCTGAGACCATGAACAGTGGTGATGTCTGTACATACTGAGGGCAAGCACACTGTGAAGGGCTTCCCAGCTCCTAGTCTCAGCAAAAAGAAGGTATATCAGAGCTTGGGCCATGATGTATAGTGCCATCCTTCAACCCTTCATTTCAGTTCTTTGTGTTGGTGGATGAGCCCTTACTACCTGTGCAGTACATAGCAACTGTGTTATTTGGCCTTGGCCGTTCCTTCTCTCATTTTGGTCTGGTAGGTTCACATTGAGTTCACAGAAGGTGAGGACAAGATCACCCTGGAGGGCCCCACGGAGGATGTGAGTGTAGCCCAAGAACAGATTGAAGGAATGGTCAAAGACCTGGTAAGTAGAACATTGCTGGTTACAGAGAAGGCTCTGTCTGGTAGGGTGGAGACAGGTAGAAGTCTTGTCATTCGGGACTTACATGGGTGTCATGGTGATGGAAGCGTAGCCTTGTTGTGTGTGTAATGGGTTCTGAAACACAAGATGACTGAGGTCCCCTGGGTGAAAGAAACTATTTTGAGGTTGGGACCTTGGAGGGTGCAGCAATTCTTGGTTGTTGAGATAGGGTAAGTCTTGCTGGGTACGTGGTGGTACAGATGGGTCTCTGAGTTGGAGGCCAGCATGGTCTACATAAAAAGTTCCAAGACATCCAGGGCTACATAGAGAAACTTTGTCTCCAAAAAAAAACCAAAAAAAACAGAGAAAGGGCAAGAAGTATTCATCTGTTTAACTTATGCTTCCCTTGTAGATTAATCGGATGGACTATGTAGAAATCAACATCGACCACAAATTTCACAGACACCTCATTGGAAAGAGTGGAGCCAACAGTGAGTAAGGCTGATGGGTGGTGGCGGAGCTCTAATACACTGAAGCCCTGAGAAGGAGAACCTCAATGCTGAGGACCCGCATGGGTTTCCTGCGTTAGCCTCCTGGGTGCTGGGTGCTGCTGTGAATAGAAATTTGATTCTGCAGCTTCGTACATTTTCCTAAAGAAACTGCCTTTCCCTTTTGCCCAAGATAAATTGTCACTTTCAGAATCAGCCCTCTCTAGCTAGAGATTGTATTTTTACTTTTCATGCAGTCTGCTTTACTTAGCCCACCAGTGTTTGTGGGACTCTAATAGTTACCTTCCCAGACATGCACCCAAGTCGTTCGCTCAGGAGTTTTGTTAAGTGAGTAGTAGTAGTCATACACTGTCTAAAGATTGGGGTTTGTGTGGTGTTTGTTTGTTTGTTTGGTTGGTTGGTTGGTTGGTTGGTTGGTTTGGTTTGGTTTGTTCTTTCGGTACAGGGTTTCTCTGTGTAACAGTCTTGGCTGTTCTGGAACTTTGTCGACACTTTAAGGCGTGTGCCGCCACACCCAACCTTCAAGCTCGGGTTTGAATTTGTTGATTGAGATTACAGGAAGAGCACAAGAATGCACTGACCAGCCAGGCGTGGGGGGTGCACACCTTTAATTCCTGCAGAGGCAGGTAGACCTCTGTTGAGTTCAAGGCCAGCCTGGTCTAAGACAAGAGCTAGTTCTGGGACAGGCTCCAAAGCTACAGAGAAACCTTAGCAATGTGTTAAAGTGAACCACACACACAAAGATTGATAGGTTGAGGGATAGAAATGAAATCTAGGCCCTTGAAAGTACTAGGCCAAAGAATCCTCTACCCCCCAGATAGGATATCTATATTGCCTAATTGAATTCATGATCTTTCTGCCTCAGGGTCCTGAGAGCCGGGATTACAGTGTATGTCAGGACTCAGGTTCTTTTTTAATCCATCTTTTCTGTATGACTACTCATAACACATGTTAGCATATTCTTGAAACAACTCCATGGTACAGGGGTTCAACAAATCCTTTTGCATTTCATTTTGACTTGGACCCATTCATTATGTTTTTGTTGCTTGTAAATATAAGCCTCTCTGCTCCAGTGATGGGTGAATGATGCATTCTCTTTGGTAGTTTCGATTCTGTGCCATTTCATGACCGTGATAATTCCCCAGCTAAATGACCTCAGTTGGCACTTATTTCACATGCAGCTTGAACCTTGTATGTGCACACCAGGAACTTGGTTTTATGGTTTTGCTTTTTGTTTTAGTTGACTGTAGAGTTTACTTAATAGAAATAGGTTGATTTCTCCTTACTAGGAGTCACAGAACTATAGTATGGTCAAAAAGCGATAGTCTACCAGTTAGAAACCTTCATTTTCTTCTATATTCTGAAATCTGCTACTTATTTCCCCAACCCACCCCATCTCTTATTCTTGAATTTAACCTGGAACAGCTGGTCACATCAGTCCCTACCAGATTACTTTCTCTGATCATATACTGTCTGTGGAGCCCATCTTGGGCTTTGGTTTTTCTGACTGTACAATGGACAGTTCTTGAATGGGGTTATCATGTTCTGTCCAGAGAACATGATGGAAGATTTTTGCAAATTTTGCCAAACAACTCTGTTCTGCTAAAGGTGTAGTCTCCTAGCATATTACCCCCAAAACCATGATTCCTTGAGGGACCCCACACTAAATGGCCCTAGTATGGTGGTACACTCAGGAGACAGAGGCAGATAGATCTCTGAGTTGGAAGCCAGCCAGGGATGTTTAACGAGACTCTGACTTTGCCAGGGCAAATCAGGTCCCTTCAATGACTATGTCCTTATTCAAAAAATGTAATTTGTGGGCTGGAGAGATGGCTCAGAGGTTAAGAGCATTGTCTGCTCTTCCAAAGGTCCTGAGTTCAATTTCCAGCAACCACATGGTGGCTCACAACCATCTGTAATGGGGTCTGGTGCCCTCTTCTGGTCTTCAGGCATACACACAGACAGAATATTGTATACATAATAAATAAATAAATATTTTAAAAAAAATGTAATTTGCTACCTGAATTGTAGATTCCAAAATTACTTGCATATTAGTATTACCTGTGATAATATAGATAGTCTAAGACCATATGTATACTCAAGACCAGCTATGTTTCATACTAATTAACACTGGTCATAATTAATTTGAAGCTCTTACTACAGTTGCAGCTTCTATTCAAGGCTGGAAGACAATGCCCTAGAAACTTTGCTATCTGATAGAGAGCTCAATCAGGTTTTTTGTGGTTTTGCTTTTGTTTTTTAGACACTACAAATTTTAATTAATGGGAATGACTCAATAGCATATTGAAGCTTGGTCCTTATCCCCTTGGTTGTTGGTCATTAGTAGGCCATTATACCTTTTGTGTTGAAAATGTGTTTGTATTTCTTTTTGTCCTAAGTCAACAGAATCAAAGACCAGTACAAGGTGTCTGTGCGCATCCCGCCTGACAGCGAGAAGAGTAACCTGATCCGGATTGAGGGAGATCCACAGGGCGTGCAGCAGGCCAAGCGGGAACTGCTGGAGCTCGCCTCTCGAATGGTAAGCCAAGGATCCAGACCATGCTCAAGAGTGCTGGCTTGTGCCTGTTGGCTGCCACTAAGGAAAAGTATTGTTGGTTCTAGAGCCATGCTCTGCTACCTTCTCAGATCACCAGCAAGGCTTGTGTCTCTTGACCCCCGAGTGTCAGAGAACAGAGGTCCCATGTGCCTGGCTGTCGTTTCTAAACTTGAACATCACTACAGTCTCACTCCCTGTGGGCCTGAGGCATCCAGTAATGAGGATCATGCTTCAGTGATTCCTGACTGGCTGCACATGCAAGTTACTGGCGTGATAAAGATCTGATAACTATGTCTTACTGTGTTCATGTTCTTATCCTAGTTCCCACACTCGGAACCTCAAATTGGAACAAATGTTTTATGGGGAGTGGTTCTTTATTTTCTGTAACCTAAGGTCTAGCCTTTGGCTTTCCTCTGACATTCCTGGGCTCAGTCTCCAGGCCAGGGTCTGCTGTTGGCATCCTTGCCTCCTGCCTTGTGAACCTTGCCTTGGAGTGTGTTCTGCCTATTCTTGAATCACTGTCATCAGATCCTCCAGAATTCCTGAAAATGTTTTATAGGCTGACGGTGTTCTTCCTATATTCCATCACTGCCTGCTGTTCTTGCTTGTGGGCAGTAGAGGACATTGAGACTGGTGTGGATTCAGTGACCTGTGATAAGGCATTCTTTCCTAATTATCCATGTAGGGTATGTGGTCCAAGTCCATTGTACTCAAGGAATGCTTCCGTGCTATGTGGGATGTTGTAGTTCTGGTGGAAATACATGCTTCATGCTCATTTTAGGGATTAGTGCTACTGTGACTGCACTCAGGGCTGAAGGGCTAGCCCTGCAGTCCATTCTTTAACTATGCTGTTTAGGAAGATAGCTCACCAGCAGCATAACGTAATTTGAAAGATTAAGCAGGTATCCTAGAATAGGCACCCCTGGAGACATGTTGTTTCTGGGGGCTGCCACCGACAGCTACCCGGGCACCACCTCATGGTTTTTGAGGCGTTAGTAGTAGCCTCTTGTGATTAATGGCTTCATCCACTTTAATTGTATTTTAGGAAAATGAGCGTACCAAGGATCTAATCATTGAGCAAAGATTTCATCGCACAATCATTGGGCAGAAAGGTGAACGGATTCGTGAAATTCGTGACAAATTCCCAGAGGTAAAGCTTTCCCCAAAGCACTCTCCCTTCTTTTTCACCTTCTGTTTTTTTTTGGGGGGGGGTTGATTTTTGTTTGTATGCTTGTTTTTTGTTTTCTTGTTATTTGGAATCAAACCCCCCAGGGCCTTGTACAGTCAACTGAACTACACTGCCAACCCCAAAAGCATTCTCTGACTTCTGGGAGTGATGATAATCTTCGCTTAAGGAATTGTCAGTATTTCACTTTAAAAACGTAGACGCTTATAGGCATACATACCACAATGGATATCTAGTTTGAGGTCAGGGAGCAACTTTCAGGAGTTAGTTCTCTTCTATGTGAGTTCTGAACTCAGATCATCAGCCTTGGTGGCAAGCACCCTTCCCCATTGATCCATCTTGCTGTCCCCAAAGTTTAGTATTACAGTAATTATACACTGTCCCCTGTGATTTGTTTTAGGTTATCATCAACTTTCCAGACCCAGCACAAAAAAGTGATATTGTGCAACTCAGAGGCCCCAAGAATGAGGTGGAAAAATGCACTAAGTACATGCAGAAGATGGTTGCGGACCTGGTAGGTGACTGTATGCACCCTCTGGGGTTGGGGAGCAGAGCTCTCACAGTCCCTGCAGGAGTTCTGCCTTTAGGGGTGGTCTGCTGTGTCAGGGGCTTGGAACAAAGTGGTGGTAGCACCTCTCTCAGTGCCTTGGTGTTTAGTTTTCACTTTTGGAAATTATCAGCTTGTTTGTGGTGGAATTAAATTGAACCGGAAAGGGAGCTATAATTGAACCTATCTGTAATCCTAGCTTTCAGAAGCAGAGTCAGGAGGATCTTGAATTCAAGGCCATACTAGCTACATATTAAGAACCTGACTCCAAAATGAGAAGGGGAAAGAAAAATAATTAGGGGGCCTGGAGGGATGGCTCAGTGTTAAGAACACTGAGCTCTTTTAGAGGACCTAGGTTCAATTCCCAGCACCCATATGGCAGCTCACAACTGTCTGTAATTCCAGTTCCAGGGGACCTGACACCTATGGCAAAACACTAATGCACATAAAATAAAAATAAGTAAATTTTAAAAAATAATAATTGTAAAAATACAATAAGCTGAAAGGTTTAGAAAGTGTGAACAGGGGATTGATGGTCACATGAGGGGTTCCATTGTAGTTTCTGTCTCTCCTGAAAGTTACCATTGAACAATTGCCATGATGCTACTAGATGCTATGCTTCGTAGGGTACCAAGGCTGACAAGCCTTGACATCAATTGTTGCTGAAGCTATATAGACAGACTTGTTTGTATCTGTATTGAAGAGCTACAGTCTTTGAACTGCCACTTTATAAAGGGACTTTCTGTAAATTGATATGCCAAGTTAATTGGATGGTGAACAGTTTATCTAATTTTTCCTTAAGTAGGTGGTGGGGGAGTAGGCACTTTCTGTTTGCCAACAGTACGTACTTGAGTTCATGTAGCTTTGAGGGATAAATAGGAGACATCATCCTCTGTCTGGCATGAATAGTTATTGTGCCATTCTCTTGTCTTTAAGGTGGAAAATAGCTATTCAATTTCTGTGCCGATCTTCAAACAGTTTCACAAGAATATCATTGGGAAAGGAGGCGCAAACATTAAAAAGGTGATCAATTCATCTTGCCCAGCCCTAAAACCTTTGTGGATTAAAAGGAGGAACTGACCTTCCTTCCCAGCCCTGTGCTCAAGTGTGTCTACTGTAGGAAAACTGTTTATCTTGTATGCATCTCCTTTAGATTCGTGAAGAAAGCAACACCAAGATTGACCTTCCTGCAGAGAACAGCAACTCTGAGACCATTGTCATCACTGGCAAGAGAGCCAACTGTGAAGCTGCCCGGAGCCGGATTCTGTCTATCCAGAAAGATCTGGTAATGGGAGATGTTTCTTGGTGGAACTCCTTATCCATTTCCTATGTTGTAAAATCTGGGCTCGGCTTTAAACCTGGAAAGTGTTAATCATGTGATCAGCAGCTCTCTACTTCTGTTTCTTAATTCTTGTTTACTTGGCACTGCAGCAATGATGCCGTTTGTCCTCGTGTTTGGCCCAGTGCTACTTTAGTAGATTTGTTTTTTTGAGACAGCTTTCTCTGTCTAGTCCTGGCTGTCTTGGAATTCACTTGGTAGACCAGGCTGGCTTCAAACTAAGAGATCCACCTGCCTCTGCCTCCAGAGTGCTGGGATTAAAGGTGTACCAACATAACTACCACCCTGCATAGACATTTCCCTTTTGTTAATTTTTATGCCACTTGAATATCATTTCCGGAGCTGGAGAGATGGCTCAATGGATAAAATACTCACTGAGCAAACTTGAGGACATGAATCTCAGAAATCATGTTGAAACCAGGCTCAGTAGTATACGTCTGTGATTACAGTGTGTGGACATACATGGATATGGAACTGAAGACAAGAGAATCCCCAGAATCTGATAGACTAGCCAACTTAACATATGTAGTAGATAAAAAGAGGCCCTCTCTCACACAAGGGGGAAGATGAGGATGATACACCCAAGATTGTTCTCAGACATATACATAAGGTTTAAAAAGGAAAGCAAACTGTATCTCAAAGTGCCCACCGAATTTTGTTTAGCTTTTAAAAAATGAACATGCTATAAGTTAGAAATGTTTTCATTGTGCAGTTTGGTAATCTTGGTATGTATACACTCCTGGAATCATCTTACTGTGTGACTTCTCCTAGGGAGACCTATCTTTTCATACTAGATAGGGCACAAAGAACACAACAAAGTAACCAGTACACCAAAGTCCAATTTGGTAACCCAGTGAGTTTATTGGTCATTTTACAGAACATAGATGAGAGGTTAGTTACAGCTACATGGGTGATCTCTCGTGAAAGCATCGTCCCTGAACCTCAATGTACTACTTGGAGACATCTTAGACAGTTGGAAACTTCCTCTCTCTGCAATTATTACTTCATGTATAACTGTGGGGAGGGTCTTTGTGGATCTTTAAGTTTCGAGACCTTTCCAAGACTTTGGAGGGGTTTTTAATTCCTAAACTTTATAAATTTAATTTACTTGATGAGACGGGAACCTTCTCCAGAAGAGAACTTGCTTTTGTTTGTAGACTGGGTCTGACTACTTAGCCTTGCTTGGCCTGGAACTCAACAGAGACCCATCTGCCTCTACTTGGGACAAAAGTTATGTGCCACTACACCCAGCCTAGAGAGATTAATTCGGAAATCATTATACAGCACATCCCCATAAGTCAAATTAGTGTCTAATTATTGTTGCATGCTTTCATATACTTTTGAACTTTAAGTTACTAGGAAACCATTTACTCCTTTCGGGTTGTTAGACAATATCACACCTGACTGTATCTAGTTTATGTCCAAGTACCTTCTGCTGAAGTTGACGCATTGAGTACTGTGATAGTCTTCCAGAAACTCGGCACCATGTCATCTACTGAAGGTGGTACTCTGGGCTATGACTGGGATACAGGCACCATCCCTTTCAGTCCTAGGTTCCTCCTCTGCCCAGGGTAATGTGTGTGTAGACCAGTATTTGAGTGGCCTCTATTTCTCAGATTTGTTAATCCATGCTTCCCCCTTTAGACTCTGGTCTGTGTAATCAAACAGCCTCATCCCTGGGTGATAGCTGTTTCCTCACTTCTTGTGACTTAGCTTGCCTGTTTCTCATCACCAGTGTCTTTAAAATACTTTTCTGGGTAAAGAGTAGATTCAGTCTTTATTTCATCTTGATCAAAATCAGAATCTTGGTTTTGATAAGAAAATTTGTCTCAAGACATATTCATCTGCCAGCCACCTGCAGAATTGACTAAAGCAACAGGTCCAGCATTGCATAGTCTAAAGTCATGGCTTTCCTATTATGCTCTTTATGCCTTCCTGCTGCCCTAAACTCAGCACGCCATCCTGTTTCTTCAAACATCCTCAAGCTGGAGCTGCATTCTTTTCTTGTGGGCTTTTCTCACCACACAAATTGTAACTTCCATTTAATGTTGTATTTGATTTCAGGCCAACATAGCTGAGGTGGAGGTCTCAATCCCTGCCAAACTTCACAACTCTCTCATTGGCACAAAGGGCCGTCTGATCCGCTCCATTATGGAGGAATGTGGTGGAGTCCACATCCACTTTCCTGTGGAGGGTTCTGGAAGTGACACGGTTGTCATCAGGGGTCCGTCCTCAGATGTAGAGAAGGCCAAGAAGCAGCTCCTGCATCTGGCTGAGGAGAAGGTGAGTCACTGCTGACACTCCCTTTGTCAGTCTGGAAAGTCTTAAGTGTTCTTCCCTTGTGGCAGGTCAGAAAACAACTTTAATAGGCACTTGTGTGTACAAATGTCCACACATAGGAGCAGAAGGTAGTACTTTGAATCACTAAGGTGGTGGGTTAAGGGGAAGCAGTTAACATTTCAGAATGGATTAAAATATGATTTACCGTAGAACTCAAAGTTCTTTTATCTGTAGTTCTGAGATTTGACCAAGACAGTCCTCTAACCGCCACTGCCATCAATTTATTAACTACCACCTTTTTCCAAAAACTCTCCATTGGTCCTTCTGTCAATCCCCCCAGGGGCTGGTGTGGTGCAACATGCAGAGGCAGACACATCTCTAACTTCCAGGCCAATAAGGGGTACATAGTAAGAGCTGTCTCAAAAAAACTAAGCAAACAAAATCTCAGTCTGAATATAGACCTTTCTACTTGGACAGAACCACAGGTTTGGGATGGCCAGCCTTACAGACCGGGATGTCAGCTGATGGGGACTCCTTCCTTCAAGTGTAGTTTCTCTTAATTTGTAATTATCGAGGTGAGGAGCACAATAGGGATAGCTTGGTGGTTAAGTACTGATGGACTAGGGACGTGGCTTACCACAAACCATTAATTAGGATTGGAGTTTGGATCCTCAGAACCCGTATAAAAGCCAGATGGATATGGTAGCCCATCTATATCTTAATTCTTGGGCAGCAGAGCAAGATGGCTAGTCACGGGCTGCAGAGATGGCTGAGAGGTTAAGAGCACTGACTGTTCTTCTAGAGGTCCAGAGTTCAATTCCCAGCAAACACATGGTGGCTCATAACCATCTGTAATGATCTGGTGGCTTCTGGCCTGCAGGTATAATATAAAGTAGAGGGTAATTAAACACTCAATGTTGAGCCTAAAAACACACACACCCTAAAAAAAAATTTTTTTTTATTAAAATTTGCTTGAGCTAGCCGGGCAGAGGTGACGCATGTCTTAACCCCAGCATTTGGGAGGCAGATGTAGGCAGATCACAGTAAATTGCCTGGTCTACAAAGTTAGTTCCAGGGGGGAAAAAATTTGCTTGGACTGTTCTGATCTTTTGTTTTTCTACATGGATTCAACTATTATCTCTGTTTTTAGTGATACTATAAATAGGTATTTTTAATTTTCTGTGGTTGACATGTAGAAATATATTTATTTATACATACTAAATACTTATCAATTCTCATAATGTCTTGGCACATTTCTGTCTTGTATGTAAAACTCACAGGTCTGTGAGTAGGCACATTAGTTTTTAAATAATGTTGATTATGAACATCTTTATCCAAGGAGTAATCAATTTTTATGGTAATATTTGGTGAAGTCTTCTTCCTCATATTCTTCATGCTGTGGGCCAGGTGGCATTTCCAAAGGCAGGCAGGCTGTAATCTGCCAGGCACACACCTGTAAAGAGATCACAGTGTCCAGCTTTTGCTGTGCCCTGCTTTGTTGGTGCAAAACAAGGGCTTTGGGCTACCGTTAGTTGAGGGCCCTGTCTCTGCTGTGACCTTTATGGCTGGTGGTTCTCCAGACTTGAGCTGGTGAGTTGCTGTTGTATATTGGCTAGTCTGTGGTGCTGGGAAGGAACAGGGCTGGCCTTTGGAACATTTGATGTGTTTGATCTGGAAGAATATGAAAAAGTGGGAGAGCCATGGCCCAGTAAACCCTGCTCTCCTCAGGGCTTGCACTGTGCCTGTTTGCCCCCACACATTAGCACACCTCTAGTGGGTAACAAATGGCTTGGAGAAGTTTAGTCATTGCTGATAACTAACTGGACCAGAGTTATTTCTGTATTTTTCTGATGGTTGTGGAGAAAAATGACTGTCTAGGTGTTCTTGTGTGGGGTGTAAGATGTGATAATTCTATTGGGTGTGGGGTGTTAATAAAACACAGGACACTGAAAATGCATAAGGAGAGGCCACCCTACTTCTCAGATCTCGTACACTGTGGCCCAGGCAGGCTGTGAGGAGCAGACATATATGTAATTTATTTCTGCAGCAAACCAAGAGTTTTACTGTGGACATCCGAGCCAAGCCAGAATATCACAAATTCCTCATTGGCAAAGGGGGAGGTAAAATCCGAAAGGTGCGTGACAGTACTGGAGCCCGCATCATATTCCCAGCTGCTGAGGATAAGGACCAGGACCTGATCACAATCATAGGAAAAGAGGATGCTGTCCGTGAGGCCCAGAAGGAGCTAGAAGCACTGATCCAGAACCTGGTAAGTTGCAGGCCTTAGCTGTCAGTGCTGCTCATGCTATGGTAGGAGAGTAGATCTTCTTCAGTTCCTTTCTTCACTGCAGGATAATGTGGTTGAAGACTACATGCTGGTGGATCCCAAGCACCACCGCCATTTTGTTATCCGAAGAGGACAGGTTTTGCGAGAGATCGCTGAAGAATATGGAGGGGTGATGGTCAGCTTCCCACGCTCTGGCACACAGAGTGACAAAGTCACCCTCAAGGGTGCCAAGGACTGTGTGGAGGCAGCCAAAAAGCGCATCCAGGAAATCATTGAAGATCTGGTGAGCACCCGGGGGCTCTGATTGGACTCTGATTACCTTTGTGTGTCCGTGAATCCCACCAAGACTGTCCTGAGAGTGTCCCCTTCTTCACATGTCTTATAGTCTTCCTTGCAAGGCCTTATGCCCCCTCTGCTAATAGTCAGCTGATGTCTGTCTGATGTGACTGCCCACCAGCAAACAGTGTCTCATGGGCAGCTTGCTTCAGTGAGGCAACACTTGTATGTAAGGCAGGTATTATATATTTATATGAGTCTGTGTAATAAAAACTTTACGTGGGTTGTGGGTATCTTTTTTACTAGAATCCATTGCAGGAGGCCAGCCCCCCTACCCTGTGTACCCCTCCACCCACTCATGCTGGGATCTCTAGGTTCCCTTCATAAAAGGTGGTGTGAACTAGTAGGGAAGATGGGTAGGGAGAAGGCTATACAGTGACTTGTATTTGACCTTTGTTCGTTCTTGTGTCTACCTTCAGGAAGCTCAAGTGACGGTGGAATGTGCTATTCCCCAGAAATTCCATCGATCTGTCATGGGCCCCAAAGGTTCAAGAATCCAGCAGATCACTAGGGACTACAATGTTCAAATTAAGTTCCCAGACAGAGAGGAGAACCCAGGTGGGTCTACTTAAGCTTAGCTCTGGTGATCACATTGGTGGTGACCATCACTACCCATGGTGCTGTCAAATGAGTCAAATGGTGGTTCTTTCTTGCCTATTGTTTCGGCACTGGAATGGTGCTCGAATGCTAGCATGGATTTCATCCTCCTGGTCTGTAAAGATAGGATAAGACCCGTAAAAGGGCCAGGAGCTTCCTTTGTCTTACCTAGGAAACTGCTGAGTCTAGTTCCACTCTTTTCTAGGACACTACTTTGAGTAGTAGAGCGGTGTCTGCTCAGCCGTAAAGAACCCTGTGTGCGTATATGCATGCACTCTGCAGATAGATCCTCTCCAAGCCTCTTACCTCTGCCCGGGGGCACCGTTAAAGTACCCCATATCTCTTCCAGAAAGGCCTTAAGCCTAACAATGCTTGTTCTACTTGGGTAGTTGGTAATAGGAGACTTTGGTTGAAGACAAGAAGAGTTAAATGTGGTCCATTGCCAACGAAGTGTCATGTATGAACTTTGCCTGTTTTGCGTGTGTGAAACACAGGGTGTGGGCTTTAGTACTGATGAGTCCTGGTTAATCTGCATGATCTAGAAACACCCTGCACCCTGTTGTATATTTACTACTGTCATTGGCTTGGTGTCCATGGCATTTGTCCAGTCCATTTTCCTAAGGATGCAGGCCACTTATTAGGAATCTTGACCATACTGCTCTTTGGATTTCAAAGCTGAGTAATCTGTTTTCAGCAGTTTAGTGTTGAAACACTTACCAGAGGAAAAAGTGCATGGAATAGCATAATGAGCTGTAGTGTGTTTTCTTAGCCGTCCCCATCCCCCAATTATCAATACATTTTCTAATTTTGAGTATGCATTTATACAATTATTTTATCAGTGAATGTTTCCTAAGAACCTTTGACTTAACCTTGGCATGTTCATCAAGATCACGTCTAGTATCACAGAGCTATTACATAATTTATAGTGTGTCTTCAGAGCTACCCTCTCCTAGAATTCCAGTTGATGGCTCTTTCATTATTTGTTTATTCTATTAGCTCACTTTGAAGCATGGGTTAATATTATCTGGGTATTTACAAGATAATATTATCTGGGTATTTACACCTTGCTTGTGTCCTAGTGACATGCCCCTTTATTTGGGCTTTTTCTTTCTGGCATGAGGAACTATCATGGGCCTATCTTGGCCTCTTCTTTTTGTCATTGGTAAATCTCTGAAATCCTGCCATCCCTGTCCAGAGCTAGGTTACTTGAATTGAATTGTACGTACCAGTGTTGGGTAGTGAGTGCTGCATCACAGCTTCCCCAGCGTTCAGACTTCTGCTCGCCTGTGACTCACATGTGTATGTGATTTATACCTCTGCAGTTGTCAACTAGGCTTTTCCCTTTATTCCTAGTTCACAGTGTGGAGCCTTCCATCCAAGAAAATGGAGATGAGGCTGGAGAGGGCAGAGAGACCAAAGAGACTGACCCTGGCTCTCCCAGGAGGTGTGACATCATAATCATTTCTGGCCGGAAAGAGAAATGCGAGGCTGCCAAGGAAGCCCTGGAGGTGCGTTTGCCTCACTCTTTCTCTTCCTTGGTGGTTCAGACTCTGCCCGGGTGGCAGCAGACCGTAGATCCTACCATTTCAGTCCCCAAAGTGCAAGCATTTGCTCTATGCCTTTCTTCGCTGCTCACACAGCCCAGGGAGGCCATTTCTTTTCACCAGGACTCAGGATTCTATAGTTTACTCCCTGTCAGCAGTGTTAGGGCCTAGCCTCTTGGGCCATAGCCATGGCGTCTGTAAAAGGATCTCGTTAGTGGGTGGATGTGAACTCATCCAGACAATGCCTGCATGGCAGTATCTGTTGACTGGTAGTGGTGGGTGCCATGCAGGAGCAAAGACTAAGGAGTGTTAGACCATAAATGTGGGAATTGAGTGCAGATAACTGGTCCACCTGTCCAGGAGACTCCCTTGCAACCCACACAGGCTTTGGCGAAGTTGTCACAATCACAGAGGCATGTCAGAAGTTGGGCCTTAGTATACTGTGTCTTCCCAGTGGGCCTTGGCCTGCTAAATGCCAAAGTATAGGTGCAAGAGTAAATCCTCTCTGCCAGCATTACCTTAGACTGTACTCCCTGTCCTTTCTTTTCATTGAGCATTGAGATCTATGTAGACTGTTGATCTGAAGCTCATGATTTCTACCTAATTTCTACCATTGTTCTTCTAGGCACTGGTTCCAGTCACCATTGAGGTAGAGGTACCCTTTGATCTTCACCGTTATATCATTGGGCAGAAAGGAAGTGGAATCCGCAAGATGATGGATGAGTTTGAGGTAAACCATGTTTACTGGGTGCTATACTATGTGGGGACTGTTATCTGGAGAAAAACCCATGGCTCTCTGAGTGCTCCTGTCTTTCATCAACTCATATTGGCTCTGCCTCCGTTGTTTTGTTAAGTCAACCACTGTCCTTCCTCCCAGTCTCCCTCAAATTCCCCAAGGCAGGTGAGCATCACCCCCTTTCCATCTTGGTCCTCTAGACATCGTTGGCTCTGTTGTGACAGGTGAATATACATGTACCAGCTCCCGAACTGCAGTCAGACATCATCGCCATCACTGGCCTTGCAGCAAATTTGGACAGGGCTAAGACGGGGCTACTGGATCGAGTAAAGGAGCTACAGGCTGAGCAGGAAGATCGGGTGAGCCAGAATGAGGCTGCCGGGCTGGGCTGGGGTAGGAAACAGTCTAGTTCAGAGCCTATTTCAGACGATAGGGCAGGAGGCCAAGCCAGGTGTCACTGCTGTTTTGTCAGAATCTGGTGGTCCTGCTATGAAAAGGCTAAAAGCTCAGAGTTTCCGTTACTCCCCAAATCAAGAGAAATATTTTGATGTATCAGCTTCTACAGAAAGTATAGAAGATAGTGCCTCATCTCAGGGACAAGTAGCTCGCGCCTGTGCCTCTGGCAGGGTGCTCTGTAAAGAGTTTTGAGTGCTGCTGGGAGTTGGGCGTGGTCTGGGAACGTGGAATGTCACTCTGGGAACTGGCCCTTTGTCGGGAGAGTTGTGTGTGAGTGCACATGTGTGGGCAGTCCCGTGGTAGCACAGCTCAGAGGCTTGTGCACATTATGGCTGCTGTGATACATCTCTAGCCTTGGGCTATGGAGGTCCTGAACGATCTCTCTGCCATTTTCAATGCTGGCTTACAAAATATTGGCACAGGGTGGGCTATTTAACATTCCCTGTGAGAGATCCTTTAGCCCATCCCCCAAATATGGTTCCAAACAGAAAATGTCTTGGCCTCTTCTATATGCCAGCCCTAAAAGACCTAGAAGATTTCATTCAAACTGATTCATCAAATCCCTGGTTCATAAATCAGAAAGCAAGAATAAAACTTCAGAAGCAATTATATACTAGGTGAGGCATGAACAAGATCTCTAGTTCTATAGCAGGAACGAAGCAATACGTAGTTCTTCTGGACCCCAGGGTTAAATTAAAGGCCTCTGCTCGTTAGAGTTTCTGGCTTATGTTTTTTTTTAATATTTATTTATTTATTATGTATACAATGTTCTGTCTGTGTGTATGCCTGCAGACCAGAAGAGGGCACCAGATTTTTTTTTTAATATTTATTTATTTATTATGTATACAATGTTCTGTCTGTGTGTATGCCTGAAGACCAGAAGAGGGCACCAGACCTCATTACAGATGGTTGTGAGCCACCATGTGGTAGCTGGGAATTGAACTCAGGACCTTTGGAAGAGCAGGCAATGCTCTTAACCGCTGAGCCATCTCTCCAGCCCCCTCTGGCTTGCGTTTTAAAGATCAGGCTGGACCTGGGCAGGAGTGGTAATTCCATCACTGAGGGGCTGGATCTCTGAGTTCAAGGCCAACCTTGAAAAACAAACAAATCAGGCTGGAAATGGTACCTGAGTACTAGTGGCTTAGTTTTAAATATAAGTGCTCATACTCATGAGCTCTCTCTCTCCCTATCCCCTTTTCTCTCCCTGCCTCCCCCACCCCCTCCTCCCCAACCACCCTATCCTCTGCCTCATTTTCACTTCATTGTAGGCTTTAAGGAGTTTTAAGCTGAGCGTCACTGTAGACCCCAAATACCATCCCAAAATTATCGGGAGAAAGGGTGCAGTGATCACCCAGATCCGCTTAGAACATGAGGTGAACATCCAGTTTCCTGATAAAGATGATGGGAACCAGGTAAGATGACCATCTAAAAGGTTGTAGCTAGAACACTTGGGCAGGTAGAATCTTGTTGACCCTTGCCTTGACCTGGGTTTTGTTTTTGTTGAAGATGATGTTTTTGAGACCAGGTCTCTATGTAGCCTTGGCTGTCCCGAAACTCAGTATGGAGAATAGGCTTATGTGGGATATTTGGTAGCACTGCGAAACTCCAAGACCGTTAATAAATTAGTTAACCTTGAATCATGGGGTGGAGCCGTAGAGAGTATGGAGCACTCAGGAAGATGGAGAGAGAGGCACAGAAAGGAGCAGGGAGGGACTTAGAGGCTCTTAAGGCCTTTTAGGTTTGGGACGAGTGGAGATATGCTCTCTTGCTGGTCTCCAGCCAAAAAGGAAGGTCAGCTGGTTGCTTCTCAGCTTCTCTGATCTAGCAGGTTTTCACCCCAATATCTGACTTTCAAGTCTTTATCGACTTAGATTTAAAACAACAGGCTAGCATTGAAATCACATGGATCTGCCTCCTGAGTGCTGGGATTAAAGGCGTGCACTACCATGCTCTGCTTGACTTGGAAGTTATACTTAGGCAGATTTGTCAAGTGGGAAACAAGTGGATCTGTTAGAGGGACAACGGTGTGAGACTCTGACTTCAGCTCAAGCTATGAACCAGGGCCTAGTAGTTGTCAGCTTTGTGCTTCCTCGATTATTATCTGAGCAGTTCTAAATTCCCTGTGCCTACTTTGGCACTCCTGACAGCCAAGCCCTGTACCTCCAGCTGGTTCCTCCTTGAGCCATCATGCCTACATATGTGCACACTATGTCTACCAGTGCCAAGAGTTTGTGGCCAGGCTCCATTGAACCTGAAAGCAGAAGGATAAAAGCCAGCCCAATCTAGATTCTCTGCATTCCCCATTCCATTAGCCATGGTCCCTGATGAGCTCTGCGCAGCCTCCTGTTATACATAAAAGAATGTGAAGGGTAACTCATCTCCTCACTTGGTTCCATCCTGGTGGACACACAGTCCATTCCACCTCACCTCCAAGTTTGCTTATTGCCCTCAGCTATGAGTTCAGTCCTTCCTTATTATTGGCTACCATGTCCATACTGGGAATTGAACTAGGGCCCTCTGGAAGAGCAGCCAGTGCTCTTAACAGCTCAGTTATCTCTACAGCCCTCAATTTGGAGATATTATATTAATATATAATTATTATATATATTAATATCTCCAAATATATATGTCCCCAAATGGGGGGGGCATAGTGAGGACAACGGATTTTATACATGTGTATATATAAATCATCAAAAAATATATAGTTTGTTGTCCTCACCATGCCTAATCTCCCATCAGATTCCCTGTAACTACTAATATTTTTAGGGGTTGATTCACCATTTTGACTTAACTAATCTGTGCGCCTAGTAGGGTAGAGCAGATGCATCTCTTTATATAGGGCACACATATGCCATAGGGTGTGTGTAGAGGTCAGTTTGTTTCCTTCTACCATGTAGGTCTCTAAGATTGAACTCACTGGGTTTGGCAGCAAGCACCTTTACACACTGAGCCATCTTACCAGCCACAATCTCTTTAAACCCACAGCTTTTTCCTGTGAGAGTTGCACTTGCAGAACTGATTCTGTGGAGTGTGCTGACCATGGCCATGGCATGCCTGTTTTGGGTGAACCTTAATTGGATCCGCTGCCTAGCTTTACCCTTAGTCTGGACAGGAAGTTCTTAGTCTGCTGCCTCTCCCCTTGTTCCTAGATCTCTTGCTTCCCTCCCAGGCTGGATCTTTCTGCCTCCTAATGTTAACTCCAGGTATTTGTTACTTGTGTAGTCTCTCTGTGTTCTGTCCTTTTATTTGGGGCCTATTGTCCAGGAAATGAAAACACTGCTGCTGTTTCGTTCCCACATGTCCTTCTGTTGCTCAAATCTGGAGGCCTGAGCTGGTGGGTTTTGAGTGAGCAGAGAGGACTCTAAAGGTCCTGGACACCTCCAAAGCAGGTTAAGAAGCTGGGAACTTTGTCAATAGTCCCCAGCCTTGTGCCTGCTTTCTTGAAGCCACCTACTGGTACTTCTCCATCTTCATCATCAGGTGTCCTTCCTAGCCTTGTCCTTTTTTTGATTTTTTTTTTCTTACATTTCCCACATGTACATGTGTGTATGTACATGTGCATACAAATGTGTCCACCCCACCCCCACAGCACACACATGGAGATCAGAGAACAGCTTGAGGGAGTGGTTTTTTTCCTTCCACCATCTTCGTTTGGGGGATCAGACTCAGGTTGTCAGATTTGGTAGCAAGCACCTTTATCCACTGAGCCCTCACACTAGCCCTCCTTTCTGTCCCTTACGGGGGTTTGGGAAGGAATAAGTGCTTAATGGATGTTAACTCTGGGTGGTTGTTTTTGGGTGTATGAATGTTTCGCCAGTATGTAGTACCCAAGGAGACCAGAAGAGATGTGGAGCTGTGGGTGATGTTTGTAGCTCTGTGGGAGCTGGTTACCAAACCCAGGCCATCTATGAAAGCAGTGAGCCATAGCTCCAGCCCCAAGTTTTAATTTTTAGCTTTAATTATGTGTATTTGTGTATGGGCTCATGAGTACAGGTATCCACAGAAGCCAGAAGAGGGCATCAGACCTCCTGGAGCTAAAGTCACAGGCACTTATGCGCTGCCTGACATGGGTGCTGGGAATTGGCTAAGAACTATGGTCCTCTGCAAGTATGGCAAGCATCTTAATTGCAGAGTCATCCTTCCAGCCCTTAACCTGTGGTTTACATCAGCCACCTGATGTGTTTCGACCTTATTCTGAGAGAATGACTCTCTCCCCTAAGGTGTGGTCTGATGAAGAACCGCCATCCACACACCTGCCGTATATCATTTCCTCAGGTCAGCCTACTCGCAGCACACTGCTGATCCTGGGCGTCCCAGGAGAGTCACTCTCCTCTCTGACTGACTTCTCCTTTTTAAGCCTCAGGATCAAATCACCATCACAGGGTATGAGAAGAACACTGAAGCTGCCCGTGACGCTATCTTGAAAATTGTGGGTGAGCTTGAGCAGATGGTTTCTGAGGATGTCCCATTGGACCACCGTGTGCATGCCCGCATCATTGGTGCCCGAGGCAAAGCCATCCGGAAAATCATGGATGAGTTCAAGGTGAGTCCAGACAAAGCCAACTGAAGCACAAGATTGAGAATGCCCATCCTTCCCAGGGCACTGGCAACCTGCATACTCCTACCTGTACTACTGACCACACGGAGCTAGGAGGGAATGGGTATTTGGTTCTAAGGTATTAGGATCAGAGCCCCTGCAAGCTGCAGGTCAGTGTTGTACTCTGACGTCATTGGTAAGTACAATAATGAGGGCTCACAGAAGGGCAGAGTCATCAGGCTATCTGCCATGCTCTTCTGCAAGGTGGGACTATCAGGCACACACTCAATGCCTTTTGTCCTCAGGAAACCAGGCGGTCCGGCAGGATGATGCATGTGACTGCCTCAAGTGAAGAATCCTAAAACCCGACTTCCTAAAATTTTCCTGAATTCACTGACTAAGAATAGAAGTATGATGGTGAACTTTGGTCTAGAGTCCTCCCTTTAATGCCCTTTGACATTTGCTTCTTCCAGGTGGACATTCGCTTCCCACAGAGTGGAGCTCCAGACCCCAATTGCGTCACTGTGACAGGACTCCCGGAGAATGTGGAGGAAGCTATCGACCACATCCTCAACCTAGAGGAGGAATATGTGAGTCCTGTGCAGGCAGGATCTAGGGGGCCCTCAGCCCAGGCTGGGCTCTGAAGCATCCTGTCCCTTGATTAGTTGGAGGCCTGGCTATAATCCTGTGACAACCAAGCATGGGCAGGGGCAAGTGGGTGGGTGGGTGGCCCTGTGGTATCTAGCAAAATGGTCAGCTGGCTATCTGTAGCTGACCAACACCACATTCTCTGCCATGCAGCTGGCTGATGTGGTGGACAGTGAGGCGCTGCAGGTTTACATGAAGCCCCCAGCACATGAAGAATCCAAGGCACCATCCAAAGGCTTTGTGGTGCGAGATGCTCCCTGGACCTCCAACAGCAGTGAGAAGGTCAGGTGGCACTTCTGTATTCCTGTTCCCCAGGACAAGAGCTAAGCTGCTGGGATAGTGGGATATGGGTGGAGTTACTCTGGAGTCAATGAGAGCCACCTGGCACTAAAGCTGTGTCCTCCCTCCCCACAGGCTCCTGATATGAGCAGCTCTGAAGAATTTCCCAGTTTTGGGGCTCAGGTGGCTCCCAAGACCCTCCCTTGGGGCCCCAAACGATAATGATCAAAAAGAAACCTTTCCAGCCTGCTGCCCAAACCCAGCCACATGATGGTTCGTCTCAATCTGACCCAGCAGCTGGACCCTCGTAAATTGTTGATGCTCTTCCCCCTCCCCGAGGTCTCGCAGCAAAGCCTGGTGGGCTGGCCTTGAGTGGCTGCTTCTCCAGGCCTGGTCAGCACCCAGCAGGCTCAGGGTCTACTCCTGATGCTGTGCTCTGGGACAGGCACGCCACTGTGTGAAACACTAAGCAAGGTAATCGAGCATTTCGTGATCACAGACTCCAGCTTCCTGGTCCACCCAGCATGTAGTCAGCACTCTGACCTTCACACCAGAGCTCCAGCGGCTAGGAGCTGACTTCCTGTGTCATGACCTCAGGAAATAAATTTCCTTGACTTTATAAAAGCCAAAACGTTTGCCCTCTTCCTTTTCCCACCTCCCTCCTGCCCGCCACCTGTCACCCAGACCTTCCTCTTGTGGAAAGCAGTCAGCTACCTTTAGCTGTCAAAATCTGCTTAGCACAGGCTACAGGAGAGGAGGAAGGCATGGTTTGGGGCAGCAAGAGGTCAGATGTCCTGGTGATCGAGTGGGTAGAGGTAGAGGGTGGCCTGGGTCCTCAGATAGAACTGATGATACCCATGTTGGGTTCCAAAAGCATCAGCGGCTTCTACTGCAGCTTCAGCCTCATGCGCTGGAGTATATACCCTGTGTGTATGTCACCTGGGTTCCCTGTGGCTGTCACAGTGGACTGGGACGACTTGAGACTTTGGAGGCAAGGGGAGGTAGAGACTGGCTTCTCTTTGGTGGGAGAGGGGGCTTGACCCAGTGACAGCTCGACTTTTCCTACAACCTTTGGCCTCTTTGCCTCACCTAGACACCTCGTGTTCAGTTGCCTTCTTTCTACCTCAGCCAGTGTGGTAGTACTCTCATGTGTGGGCTAGTGCCACCTCCAAGGCTCGTCTCTTGATTTAGACATTCTGGTGATTCTGGACTTGCCATTGAGTGAAGGGTAAAGCTAGTGCTTTCCTTCAGCCCACATGATTTAGGGGCTGGTGCTGAGCAGGGTGCTCATTCCCAGCCAGCCTGACATGTAGGCTCTAGCAAGCATACTTGGATGCTTTATGCAGTCCTGAGGGACAGGTTTGAGGGCAGGGTCATCAATAGAGGCTGTCATTTAGCATGGGTTAAAAGGGAAGGCAGAATGAAAACAAAGGACCCAGTGCAGGGAGTGCTGCTAGCTGAGGGAGGCCTTTTCTCAGGTGCAAGAGGTAACTTGGACTACTGGCCCCAGCCCTGACCAGGAAAAGTGGTCCCCAGTAGAAGTGTCCCCTTTGTGTTATGGAGACTGAGGACAGGTCTTTTATCTCCAGGTCATCTGATCAACTAGCAACATGTCCTATCCCAGATACTTGGGTTCCTAGAAAAGCCAACCTGTGCCCATCTCATGGCCTTCCTGGGAACTAGTTGTCACTGCTACTGTGACACCTTTTCCAAAGTCTTTCACTCTCCACTTACTAACTCAGGCTTGGCTACCTGTAGACTCTTAACTCCTAAATGGATCCAGAATTGCTTCTCCAAGTCTAACTTCAGTTCCCTGTAGATGAAGCAACCCCACATGTACCCCATTATAGGAATGATAGTCAGATGGGAAAGAACATCTGCTTTGCTGGGTAGGCCGGCAGTTTGGGCCAGGCGGGGGAGACAGGGAGAGGGCGTCCCTGCCTTTCCCAGGAGCTGTCTCTTCTCCCATCTGCATGAGGCTGGGGACACCTTGCTTCCCTCCTGCCCTTCCAGCCCCCTCATCAACTTCACAGTCATCCTACAACATCCAGTCTCCTCCTTCCCCAGAAAGTAAAGTTGAGATGATCACCACAGGATTTTGCACATCTCCATTTATTGCTAAGTGCTGTAGACGTAAGCCCTACCCTACACTGTTGAGAGACTCACTCCTTTTCTGATTGTTAATAAGGTCTATGAAATTGACTGTGCCTGGGTCACCTCTCTGTAGCCTCCATGCTGCTGAGGGGCCTAGGCAGGGTGGGGATTGTCCTTTCCTCGTTGTTGAATGTCTTCCATGTCCTGTTTCCATAGCTACATCCATCCCTTGGCCTTAACTTTGGAATTTGGAAATTATATGCAAACATGTGTAAAGGCTCATGAATATGGATGACACTGGAATTTTATAAATTCTAAAATAAAACCCAAAACCAGATGCAGTGTGATGAGACTCATTTTATCAAATATATATTCTCTCCTTGTGACTGGTAATTCCTTGATCCATTTTAGATTCTCTGGCAATTCTGTCCTATTCAGTGGAATTTCCCTAGGGAACTCTTGCCTGTTCTGCACCTTAACCCATCCCAGACTGTGGCTTCCCCTGAGCTATTAACTGAGACAGCTCTGCTTGGAGAGCAGCTTGATCTTTGTAAAACCCGCAACATCCCCAGGTTTTCTGTTGACATTTCCTGACAGGCTTTCCCAACACCAGGTTGAGGTTGACCTGGAGGCAGGGTCCTGCCAGGAGACTGTAGAAGCTGAGAAGGAAGGGGGTGGAGACAGAGCAAGGGTAGGAAAGGCTACTCCAGTTCCCTTGAGATAGAAGATCCCATTAAAGAGCAGGGAACTAGCATAGCACCTCTGTTGCTGAGAAGACTGATAACCCAGCATCTCCATCCCAAGACGTGCATCCTGAGTAAAACGGTTCCAAATAAAAACAGGACCCCACAACCCGTCTACCTTCAGGTCCCAACAGCCAATAAACACCTCCTATATAAGGCTCTCCCTGGTGTGCAGAGGAAGTCACTGGGAATCCATGACTCATTCCTGGCGTAGTTGTTTGGATGGGGTGAGGGGCATGTATAAGTGTGGGCCACCTTGCATTGGTTTCAGTGAAATTCCTTCTGTTTGGTCAAGTTGACTTAAAAGATGGCACCAGTACAATGGCTGAGCAGGTGCATGTCTTAGTGACTGTCACTGAAGAAACAAGGCAACCTTCAGAAGAAACTTTACTTTGGCTTATGCTTCCAGGAGGTTTAAAAGTCTACAATACTGGAGACAGCATAACAGCAGGAGGATGAAAGCTCACACCTCTACCCAGAAATATGAGGAGCACCAACTGGAACGGCACACTTTTTCTCAAAGCCTACTCTGCCATAAAATTTCCTCCGGCAAGGCTGCAACACCTAAACATCCCCAAATAGCATCACCAAATGGGGATGGAGTATTCAGCTGCCAAAGCCTACCAGGGACGTTTCTCGTTTGAACCACTACACTGCCCAAGCCTGGCATTCTCTGGAACCCGCAGTGGAAGAACTGGCCCCACAAAAAGTCATTTCCTGATGGCTACATGTGAGCTGTGGCATACATCCCCATATTTACCCACAATAATAGATTTTAAAAATTACAACAGCAGAACAAACAGCTTGAAGCAAGTAAATGTAGTTGGTGTTGTAAGGCTACCTAGTAGATGCATTCATTGAACTGGCTAGGTTGTCCAGTAGCCATGCAAGGTTCAGTGGGCAGCTGTGACCCATGGCAAATGGCAGAGTGAGCACAGAGCCACATCTGAGGCCAGAAGTTGCCAGAGTTAACAATGGATGGGTGAGTGAGTGGTTTGGGGAAGTTTTGAAGCAAGTGTGTGTGCTTCCCAGCCCCTTCCAAGACTGTATATCCCTCTTGTCGCAGCCGAGAACCCTACAGAAATAAGCACAGGTAAGAGTGACTGAGACCTTTATTCCAGTGTGACTGAAAGGCCCGGGTCCCATCATGAGTGGGCAGCTAAGTTAGGAAATAACTGGCAATTAACCATCAGTTAACCCAGATAACAGGAGGAAACGACCCAAATTGTACCCAGTCTGAAAAGTAACAAAAAGGAGAGAAAATAGGAAAGACCCACTAGGTATCACAGAAATCTGTTCTCTGTGTTTTGTCTTTCCTGCTTCCACTATAAGGGGTAAGGCTTCATTCCACAGCCTTCCCCGTTCTGTGCTTGCTGTGTGCTGAATCCCTGACCCAGCACTGGAAAGCACAGGAGACAAAGGGGATAGATACTGCAGAGGCCTTGATCTGTCAGGATAAAGAGGCCAAGACAAGAGAGAACCCAGAGGCCTTAGGTAGTCGGGTATGAAAGGAAGAGCAGGTGTAAGCTGCGGCCTCGGATGTTTCAGGGCTGAGAGCCAGAAGTGCAGAGATGTGTACTGGCCATGTGAGGAAAAGGCAGAGGGTGGGTCTGGAGGGGTGACCTGACCCTACACTATCACATGGAATGGCAGGGACCCCAGAGTCTAACCTGCTCAGCTGACAATGACAGAAGTTATGCCAATGGATGGGGGTGGGGGAGGGAAGGTTATGTCAACAGTAAAGCCACCTCCTGGTCACTAAGATTCAGGACTGCATACAGAGGACCCTTAGTCTTTGGTTTAGGGAGAGGAAACAGGGATCCTCCCTATTGGGGACAAGAGAAAGTCGTGGCTGAGGGAAGGACAGGTGCTCTGAGTACAATGGCCAGCACTATAAATATGAGAGCTATAGAAGCCCCTTCAGGTAGCCCTTTTGCCTTGAGATCATTGGCTCATGGGACTTGGGAATGGCAGTAGGGGATAGCTTCCTAAAGGCCAACAGATGTCTCCTTTTGGTGGCCTTAGGAATATCTAGTAGAGGTGGTAACCAAGCAGTATGTGTGAGCCAAAGACTGTGGCAGCCAAGGGCCATGGTTATTCTAAACCAAGCATAGGAGATAAGTTGAGTCGGGGCCAGGAGCACGTGCAACAAATGACAGAGACAACTGGCTACCTGCCCTTCTTCCTCCCAGCATTCAGTCCAGTCTTCTCTACCTACCTAAATTCTGCCCTATCAGGCCAAGGTGGTTTCTTTATTCATTAACCAACACAAGCAACACATGCACAGTGAACTGGCTCCTAGTGCATCTTCAGCAGGCTTCCAGGTAAGTGTGTCAGCCTCCAGTAACCCCTACTGTGACTTCAGAGATGGAGGAGAGGTTACCAGTTCTAAGACCCTAGGCTGGAAGGCCCAGACTCTGAGCTTGGAAGCCGGTCATCCTTCACTCCACTTGCTCCAAGGAGAGCCTGTCTTGAAGAAAGTGAGTTGTCAGGTGGACTACAGAACAGATGTTGACAATAAAGCCCTCAGTCCTTCACCCACTTTGTAGCTGTGCTGCCAGGACTGAGTAGGCAGAAACCAAAGCCCATGGTTGGTCATGTAGCCAGAGAGAGCATGAGGGACAGGGCTCGGGTGCTCACCTCATTCTCAGCCAGGGCCTGCTTAGCTAAGTAGTATTCCCGCTTCACCTTGATCTCCACAGACTCTGGGATGTCAGGAACTAGGAGATCCAGAAGACGGCCAATGGAGAACACCACGTGCTGGCGGGAGAAGCCCCACCCCAACCTTGGTAAA